ACATACCATTCACACCGCATTCCTAAAAAATTTTCCCTCCTCCGGTAAGGCTAAAATGGTCCCAAGAGTCTAAGGTGGTTGAGGGGAGCAGAAGGTCTTCCTATGCGCAATGGGCATCCCTGTTTGTCCACAAACCAAGGCACTATATTAGATGGAATTAAGTAAGTGCTGTTCAAGATGGTATTGGTATTCCTAGGGCAGTTGCAGCTAGTAGTAGTCCAAGCAGCTGGGGCTGAGATAGCACGTCCAGAGGCCCTGGGATTATGGTTAGGCAAAACTTGATGTTTAAAAGCACAGCTGGAAAAGGGCCAGATGACCAGCAAAGGAAATAGACAAAAGCTCCACAATATCGATGACAGGCTGTAGGAGAAACTCTCCCAGTCCACCAAGGGAAGAAGTCCAAACAAACAGAGCTCAGGAGAGAACAAGGGCAGTGATAGTACAAAGGCTGAGCCACAGGGGGAGGGGAGGGGGAGGCGTCCGGGAGGGCTATGGCGGTGGCACTTGTAGTCAGCTGCCCAATTCGCCCAGTCTCTACGGGCGTCCAGATTGTTTTCTCCCCCTCTGAAGTGGAGGCAGTCCAGGAAAGTCCCCAGGGGTTCAGCAGACTGGGCGGGTACCATTGAAAGATGTTGCAGGCACCCAGGGATGGAAAGAAACGCCGCCATCATCTGCCCGCCGCCTGCAGCAAAAGGCTGGCCTGAGCACCAAAGTTATGGAACTGTTCCCCTAGGTTTCAATCACACTCCGAGAGTCTTGGGCTACTGATTTTTCAGGTTTTTGGCATGGCCTTGGTTGATTTAAGCCTTTGTGCAATTAATTTCCTTTCCCTTCAAATCTTCCTTCAGCCTGACAAAGAGGATGCAGGAAAAGGAAGCTTATGGCAAAGTGGTTTTGCCTTTTTCAGCCTTCTCTTTTCTTCATTGACTGTTGTTCTTCCTTACCTTCACGTGCATCTTATGTTTCTCTCCAGGAGAAGAATCTTCCAGTTGGAGTTTTGCATTCTGATTCCTCCCCTAACAATTCTGATCCAGATCGCAGGTAACAAATGTATTTCGCTTAGTTGGCATTGGTTTTAATTTCTTTACAATTCTCAAATTAAGAGGTTTGCAGGCATTATTTTTTTACAGTAAAAGTTATGTGAGTTGTCAACTATGTTTAGCATAAAATGGGGTTCTTAAATTAGTAGAGAGTCTCAAATATTTTTAAAGCTTTGACTTGTTTGTCAAACCCAACTTTTGAATCTTAACATTTATGAATCTTGCTTCCTTTTCTTAGCAAAAGTAAAAGGATGCTAAAAACTATCAACAACATTGTCTTATTTTAATTATTTTAGCATTACTTGTTATAGAAATGTTTTCCAATAACATTGTTTGTATTTACAATCCCTAGTTTTATTCTTTTTCTGTCTTCAAGTCAGTGCTGATTGTGCTTTTCACAATCTGATTCCCACCCCCCTCCTCCTCCTCTACACAATTGGCTTCATGCCCAAAGTGAGATTAAAACTTGCAGTTTCTCAGTTTCTAGCTTGATGCACCAAACTAGTTCTCTGATTTGCTTTTCAAAATATTTATATAGTATGTGGGGGTAAAATCTACTTTTATGCCCAAAGTATAAAGTTTTTTTTTGTAAATATTTTGCATATATTAGCTAGCTATTCAATGAAACAATATGTCAGGAAAGACTTACGTTTGCTCACTTCAAAGTAATCATTTCACCTACCCCTCTTCTGTTCTTCTCTTTTCCTTCTTTATTCATTGCCCCAATCCTAGCAGTTGGGTATGTACAGTTCTCCTCTTTCAGGACAAAACTCCAGCCTTCTATTAAAACAGACAACCATCCACTAAACAATAATTTAAAAATTGTTAGTTTTGAGATGTCGTAAAACATAGCTATTTTTAGAAATTAATGCTTTAAAAATAAGGAGAGGGTATTCCTCTGAGCCAGTTGATTCTCGGTAACCATCTGGAAAAGTTCCTGCCATTTTCTTGCCACTTCGGAAGTGGGTTTTCCTTGCTTGTTTCCTGAGGTAGCAAGAGATTAACCGGTTCGAAGCAAGACTAGAATTCACAAGCTCCTGGTTTTTATCCTGGTACCTTTAATTACTACACCACACTTGTTCTCAAGGAGATTGAGAACATTAGGAAAAGTGGAAAACATAATAATAGTAAAATATAAATAGCAAGGAAGAGATGGGAAATGTCCTACACTGTCCTTGAGTAAAGTGGAATTTAAAATTAATCTGGACAGTTCTGGAGCTGACTAGGAAAATTGCTTAATCTGTTTTCTCTCACTGAGAGAAAAAGCTTTAGTTTCTATGCCATGGCACCAGCTTTGCTTGCCAGGTTAGAGAGAAATAAAGGGCAAAGAAATAATATTAATGGTTTGACTAGATTAGATTAGATTTATTTATTTATTTATAGGCCGCCCTTTTCCCTGAGGGGACTCAGGGCGGCTTACAATCAAAAAAGGAAGGGGAG